AATGGTCTGACTGAGACTGGAGGAACCCCGGAAGGCATGGCCCCCAGATTCTCTACCAGCCCAGGGCTAAAATAATTTCCGAGGCTAACTCTTCAGACGGGGATGGGACTGGACTGTGGGACATAAAGTGATGCTCATGAGGAGCGTACCTCTTAGCTCAGGTAGATACAGGAGACTAAATGGGCAGCTTCTGTCCAGAGGTGAGAAAGGAAGGCAGAGAGGGTTAGGAGCTGGTTGAATGGACATGGGAATCAGGGGTGGAAAGGAGAAGTGTGCCGTCACAGTATGGGGAGAGCAACTGGGATCACATAGCAGTGTATGCATAGATTTTTGTATGGGAGACTAACTTGAAATGTAAACTTCATTTAAACAACAATAAAAAATAAGAAAATCTAAAAAATTTAAAAAAAGAAACAAAGATTAGACTCAACTGATATTACTTAAAAAGTGAATACATTAGTATAAGTAAAAGGACAGAAGCAAAGACTAAAGTCATCCTATATCAATATCACAGTTTCACACTCAGTAAGAATGACAAATAAGTGTTAAAGAAAAATAATAAAAATGATTATGCATATGAATTGGCTGGAATTAAAAAAATTAATACTGAGATTAACTATGATCACTAGTGAACATCAGATGTATATGACATTTACCTCAGCTTTAAAGGAGTTACGATGAAAAACAGACGTTTTATTTTGCCAAGGTCCTCATCAATGCTCCTAAAAACATCCTCTAACAGAGACATCTCAGAGCCCTGGTGGCACACTGGTTAACAGCTCGGCTGCTAACCAAAAGGTTGGCAGTTCGATTTCACCAGCCGCTCCTTGGAAACCCTACGGGGCAGTTCTACTCTGTCCTATAGGGTCTCTATGAGTCAGAATCGACTCGACAGCAACGGGTTTGGTTTGGTTTTTTTAAACAGAGACATCTCAGCCCTTAGGAGAGATCTCCTCGCATTCTCTGTGATGAGAATCACGAGGGCCAGTTTCCAAACTGGGCACTGCGGCACTCTGAGGCACCATGGCAAACTCACAGGGCACTGTGGGATGCTTTAACTTTTTGAAGGAAACACAGTGGCATCTGTTTGGACTATTAGCTTGAGGTAGTTCACACTTTCTACATTAAAATTATTACATTCCTTTCAATAATGCCATATTTCTGTGAAGCTGGGATTTTGGCAGTTGCTGTGACAAAAGGTATGGCAAAAAAATCAATGTAGAAGAGGAATGAGGGGAGAATGTCCACTTGATTTCAAGGCTTGAGAAATTGTGCATTGCCCAACAGGTGATCGAACATAAACATGTAAGTTGTTTGAACCTAACTTCTATATAGATGGATGGGTATTCCTTTTGGCCTATAGGTGCCATGAAAAAATTACTGAGACATTCATGGATTTCTATGAACCAAAAAAATTTATGAAGCTCTGCGTGAGGGTAAATAATTATTTACTCTGTCTTGTACTAGAATTGTTACCCAACCCCCATAACATTCTTTTGCCCTTGATATAGTAATTTCTTTGTCAACTGGTGCTGTCTAATGTCATTATTGAAGTCTGACTTAACCAATATTTTTGATATTTCAAAGTCTTACACTAGATGACCAAATAAGCTTCTAATAATTTACACAGTCTGTATCCAATATGAATCTGAAAGAGTCAAAGAAGGTGTTGTATAACATTTAAAAGAGGAAAGGGTTTTCTTTTCAGTATTTATGAGGTTGTTTTCGTTCACAGATATTTAACAAGTGCCTATTCTGTTCTAGAGTGGGAGATAGAAGACACTGTCCCTGACTATCAGGAACTTACAATGTAAACTGAGAAAGACATGAACAGAAGACACGTTCTAGTTATCTTTCTTTTCTCCCATGGAAGACAAGAGGGAATGTTTGCAGAAAAAGAAAAACTCATTTAATCTACGTATAAAGGAGAAACAAGGATATAATAAGCCAGTCAGGGAAAGCTATGGAATTTCAAATGTTGACATCCTGAATAGGAATTTATTTAATTAGTTGAACTACTATGATTTCCTTTAAGTTCGTATCTGTTCAATAACTTGTTCTAAGTAAAAATAATAACAACTACTCAGAGGTAGAAGAAAGCAGTAAAGGGGTTAAAAAGAACCTAGACTCCTTTTTTCTAAGTAATTTATTTTTTATTGTTGTTGATGAGAACAGACTTTTGGAGGGGCTTTTTTTTTTTTACACCAATTCAATAGTTTCTACATATATGGCTCAGTGACATTGATTACATTCTTTGAGTTGTGCAACCACTCACCCGCCTTTTCTGAGCTGTTCCTCTCCCATTAACGTAAACTCACTGCCCCTACCTAATAGTTATGATATTAGTTTCCTATCTGTCTTTCCAGTTGCTGTTGTCAATTTGATCCCATACAGATAGATCTTAAAACAGCATTATGCTCAAGGCAGACATTCTTTACTAGTTAAGCTAAACTACTGTTTGATTTTAAGAAAACATAAGCAGATATTTTTGATTTAAGGGTTAAAGATTATCTCAGGGCAATAGTTTCGGGCGTTCATCTAGCCTCCATGGCTCCAGAAAGTTTGGATTCCATGAGAATCTGAAACTCTGTTCTGCATTTTCCCTATTTTAATCAGGATTCCGCTACAGAATCTTTGATCAAAATGTTCAGTAACAGTAGCTGGGAACCATCCAGTTCTTCTGGTCCTAGACTCTTTTTTGATGCTTAAAATAAAGTTACAGATGGACCAGTTAACCAAGAGATAAGCTGCTTGGCTTAAAACTAGTAATTTTTAAACCTGGCAAAATTATAAACACAAAACCTATTGTCTCAATTAAAAGCTAATTAAAAATGACTGCTGGACTTTCACTTTCAGGAAGATGGAGTAGACATACTTTTCACTATTCCTCCTGCTAAGTACAACTAAAAACCTTGGACATTACATACAAAACAAACATAAGAACACTCTGAAAAGTATGGAGATGAAGGTAGACCAGCTAGGGAACTCAGACCTGAGTACGGACGTTGTGGTGACTTTCCACATATACCTGAGACTCGGAGCTGAAGAAGCCAGCGACCTGGAATGAAGTGCCAAAGTGAGAAGACAAAAAAAAGCCCCCTCCCCACAAAAACCTGTTCTCTCTAGCCAAAGGACTAAAAATGAGGCAACCTAGTAGGTTTTCTATCAATAACCACCTACTCCAGTCAAGTACCGTACTGTGGCTCCACCTCCAATCTAGACCAGCAAAGGTCAAGTGAGTAGCCTAGATGTCCACCATTGCAAGGCTGTAATGAGGTACCAACATAGCTAGAGTGGTATCAGAGGCTACGTAGGGAGCCAGAACTTTCATCCCTACTGGTTAGTAACCAGACCCATATTACACACATGGTTGTCAGTGGAGACCACAGAGGGAGCCTGGACTTCTACTCCCACCCAGCAGTAAAGAGGCTCTCTTCCCCATCACCACAGGGGTAGTGTCAGAGGAGAAGTAGTAGAGAGTCAGAATGAAGCAACTCTGACCATAGTGTCACTGGAGACCATATGAAGATATGGAACTCCCATCAAGTCTAGGAGTACTCAGGAGTAACAAGGAGATCCTCCCACCCCTCCCACACACACACTCAGATATCAACAAAGGCTGGGTGGGGAACCTGGATTTTGACCTTCACCTGGCAGTGACAAGGCAGCACCCCTGCCTTTCCCTGCCAGAGCACTGTCAGAGAAAAATCAGCTAAAACGAAGGTTTAAATAAGATTGAGTCTCATAACATAATATGAAAACATCCAGGTTTCAACCTAAAATTCACTCATTATACCAAAAACTAGGAAGATCTCAAATTGGATGAAAAGACAATGAATAGATACCAAAACCAAGATGACAGAGATGTTAGAACTTTTTGGAAGAGATTTTAAAGCAGCCATGATAAAAATACCTCAACAAGCAATTATAAATGTGCTTGAAACAAACACAAAAAATAGAACACCTCACAAAGAAATAGAAGATCTAAAGAAAATCCAAATGGACGGTTTAGAACTGAAAAATACAATAAATAATATCAAAGTCTCAACAGTAGAATGGGGAAAAGTATCAACGAACAGGAAGGCAGAACAACAGAAATTATCCAATTGGACCAACAGAGTTAAAAGAGACTGAAAGAAAGAAAAAAAAATAACAGATTTTCAGGGATGTATAGAAATACATGTATGGAAACCCTGGTGGTGTAGTGGTTAAGAGCTATGGCTGCTAACCAAAAGGTCAGCAGTTCAAATCCACCAGGTGCTCCTTGGAAACCCTATGAGGCAGTTCTACTCTGTCCTATAGGGTTGCTATGAGTTGGAATTGACTTGACAGCCAACGGGTTATAGAAATATAACAAAAGATCTAGTATCTATAAGATCAGATTCTCAAAAAGAGAGGAGAAAGAGGGCAGGGCTCAAAAAGTACTTGAAGAAATAATGGCTGAAAACTTGCCAAATATGGACAGAGAAATAAATCTACAGATTCAATAAGCTGAGAGAATTCCAAACAGGATAAACTCAAAGAAATCCATGCCAACACAATTATAATTAAACTTCTGAAAACTAAAGGCAACAACAACAAAAAAATCTAGAAACTGGTGACAGAAAAATGATACTTCGCCTGTAGGGGAAAAGCAATTCACATGACAGAAGATTTTTTCTCAAAAACCAAGGAGGCCAGAGGAAATGGCACAGTATTTTTCAAGTGCTAAAAGAAAAGAACTTTCAACGCAGAATCCTATACCCAGCAGAAATATCCTTAGGGAATGAGGAAGAAATCAAGGCTTTCTTAGATTGAAAAAAGAAAAAAAAAAAACCTAAGAATTTTTTTATCGCTTCCATGACACTGGCGACCCGGCCCCCTTCTCAGAATTTCTACTGCTCTTTTTAGTCATTAGTCTCTACTACTGTTTAGTATCTAATCATTGTATAACGGCTTAAAATATATTAGTCTGGTTTCCCCAAATGTAAGTTTCTCTGTGCTGGGCACATTATTTTCAAAAAACACACACTGACTGACTTGGGAAGGAAACCTATTCTACACACTTGTTCTCTGGCTGTCATATGACCCTTGTTTGAAGTCTGGAGGATTTTAGCAACTCACTAACTAATGTCAACACTTAACAAAGGCATTAAGACTTCCTTATTGCTGCTGATTCAATGTTTAAATAGTATACATTCTTCCCCTACCCTGTTACTGAAGCAATAGAGAACCAAAGGTGGTGGAAAAACTATGTTTTAGACAGAAGGTTAACATACCTGCACAGATAAACAAGAATACATTTTATTTATTTTAGTGAGCCTCTCTTCACGTAGCTTATTTTTGTCCTCTTTTAACCTAATATTACTTCGTCATTTGGATAAATTAAAGAACATTTTGAATGTAGTCATCAATCCCTAAAATATCTTATTAAAATAGAAAAAAAAAAAAAATCAGTGCTATGGTAAAACTGTTTAATGCAACAGCAAACACAGTAAAACCTCAATTACCCAGAATGTTTGGGGAATAATAATAGCTAATGTTTACTGAGTACTTGTACCAAAAAATGTTATCTCATTTCTTCCTCACTAAAAATCTATGGGGCGGGTGGTAATATAATTTTATACCTAAGGAAATAAAACTTAGAAGACTAAACAACTTGATCAAGTAACACAGGCAGAAATAACAGCTGGTGCCTGAACACAGATCTGAGTCCAAAGCCCACCAGGTTATATTTCTGAAAAGCTTTATATTTTCCTGCCTTAGCAAGCATATCATATTAATTTAATTTAACCTCTTCTGATGACTGATTTGATTACAGTATCTTAGATTCTAAACATCATTTCTCAGGGCATAAAACTACAGGCATAAAATGCAAAAGGTATCCAGGACATTGAGTTCTACAGACAACAGCAACGTTGGATGCTAAAATAAGCAGATGAAAGTTTGATGAGAAACAGGATATTTACATAGTCTTAAAGTATCTCCCCACAAATTATTACAAAGGGAAAAATAGTAACTTTATAGTAGAGAGACCTGGCAGACACCACCTTAACTAAGTGATCCAATTTATCACCAGTAATAGGACAAATAAACATCCTGTACCTCTTCATGTGATACACTGAGAAGAACAAAACAGCACTTTTGGTAGTATTCCTGCCAAAAATGCATGACCTTAATCTAATCATCAGGAAATATTAGATAAACCCAAATTGAGGGACATTCTACAAAACAGCTGGTCTGTACTCTTCCAAAATGCCAGGTCAAAAAAGGCAAAAGGCTGAGGAAATGCTCAGATTAAAAGACACTAAAGAAACACGAAAATCAGTGTGTGATTCTATACTGGATCCTGGCTCAGGAAAAAAAAACAACAGCTATAAATGACATTATTGAGATAACTGGTAAAATTCAATTAATGTCTGTGGATTAGATAACAGTACTGTATCAATATAAAATTCACTGCTTTTGAGAACTGTATTGTGTCTATGTAAGACAATATTCTAGTACTTAGAAAATACACTCTGAAGTATTTAAGACTAAAGGGGCAAATAAGCAAATATATAGAAACTAAAGATTATTATTGGTTACTAGGGGTGGGGAGGGACAGGGAAAGGGAGAGCTTTTCTTTAGGGTGCACTGAGTTTGTGTTAATGGTGGTGGAATATTTTAGATGAGGACAGTAATAATGGTGGGACAACATGAAAAATGTAATCAATGAGTTGTAAATGTGGAAGTTGTGCTGGTGGATGTTTTAGTGTTTGTTTTCATCACAAAAAAAAGAGGAAAAGAAAAAGAGTAAAGGGACACGTAGAATAAATATCTACAACTTATTCTCAAAAGGTTAAAAAAATAAAAAGGTATAAAGAGAGTAAATGATAAAGCAAAAGGGGCAAAATATTACTAATTGGTAAAACTTGGTAAAAAACATATGAACATATGGAAGTTCCTTATACAATTCTTGCAGCTTCTTTGCAAATTTGAAATCACATCAAAATAAAAAGTTACAAAAGAACAGCCACAAATATTTGTTGAATGGCTAGTGGGAAAAATCTTGGCGTAGGTGGAATACGATGAAGGTTTTATAACTCTGGCAAACTGATTAACAACTAAAAATTACTGAAATTTGTGCAATCTTCATTTTTAAAGTTAATACATAACTTTCTCATTTGTGAATATCAGTAACATTTACCTTTTCTTCTCTTCCTTTATTCTGTTCTTTCTTTTCTCGACAACGAACAGTTTTCCCTCTGTCATTGTGAAGATTTTGGGCAGATGGACGGTGAGTTCTGACAGCTGCACTTGGACGGTTACTGTGTGGTTTAGGGTCACTGTACTGAGGAGACTGGCGTTTTCTAGGTCCTGGTGAGGGTCTAACCAAAAACAAGATCATTAAAATCATAACCAACTCCTAGAATTGGTCCAAACATGAATGAACACACACACTAGTATGTAAGTTAGAGTCTATGAAGTAAAGAAGTCAAGGCAATCACTGCACACAGGATAGGACTGAATAAACTTAAAGATGCTGAAATCTAAGATCTACAGTTTAAATCTGCCTTAGCTGTCTGTGGTGATTTAATGAGAGGAATGTGGCATGGTTATGTGGTAGAAATAATGGAAGAGAAGTCGTGGACACTCTTTCTTTGAAACAAAATAGTTGTTGTATATCAAAAATGAATGAGAAATCAGTCTGATTCTCAGAAACTGAGGACAGAAAAATTATCAGAGAGGAGAGTTTTATCAAAAGAACCAGAATATAGTGCATTGGTAGGATTAACATCAACCCACTGGTTTATATCCGATTTGGTACCATTTTATTTTGAACGTGTCATAGTTCTCATGTTTTAATTAATAAAATTTAATAATTTTTCCATTAAAAAAAACCGTTATGAGCAGAAACCCTGATGGCATAGGGGTTACGAGCTATGGCTGTTAACCAAAAGGTCGGCAGTTCAAATCCGCCAGCCACTCCTTGGAAATCCTATGGGGCAGTTCTACTCTGTCCTATAGGGTCACTATGAGTCAGAATCGACTCGACAGCAAAGGGTTTTTTATGGGCAGGTACAAGAACTACTGTATGGTGTTTCGCATTTACATACATCACGTCATTTCATCTTTATTTCTGTGGTAGAATTCAGACCGCTCAAATAGTATTTATTAGGCTCCTACTACGCTACTATGTCCCACATACTTTGGACATGTTATCAGGAGGGATCAGTCCCTGGAGAAGGATATCATGCTTGGTAGAGGGTCAGCAAAAAAGAGGAAGACCCTCAACGAAATGGACTGATACAGTGGCTGCAACAATGGGCTTAAGCATAATGATTGTGAGGATAGCGCAAGACTGGGCAGTGTTTCGTTCTGTTGTACCTAGGGTCACTATGAGTCAGAACCGACTCAACAGCACCTAACAACAACAACTAAGCTCCTGGAGCACTGGTGGTGAAGTGGTTAAGAGTTTGGCTGCTAACCAATAGGTCAGCAGTTTGAATCCAGCAGCCACTCCTTGGAAACCCTCTGGGGCAGTTCTACTGTGTCCAATAGGGTTGCTATGAGTCGGAATCAACGCAACAGCAACTAGTTTGGTTTTTTTTTTTTTTTTTACTATGCTCCTAGACCTGGTAAGGGCCATTAAAAAGGAGCAAAAAAAAAAGGGGGGGGGGGGCGGGGATTTTATTCTCAAATACTTCAGAGTATAGTTAAGCAAGAAGATACATAAAACTATGCAAATATACTAGAAGATGTGAAACAGACCTAGTGCTATAGCTATGGCCTCATGCAGACAGAAAATAAATTGGGCCCAGAAACACAGGAGCTGAACTGAACACAAGGATGTAATTGCAGATAAGAGTATCAAAGAGCAAAAGCCAAAAAATCGAAAATGAGCTTAATCTGTGCAAAGGATTATAAAGAAACTAGCCTGAGAGATATCAGTGAGCATTAAGAGATGATATTGAACAGATAAGGTAGTTCAGTAAGTAGAAGATTTGAATACCAGTTCAAGAGGTTTGCCTTTTATCTGTCAACAAGGATCCACTAAAAGGGTTTTAGAAAGTTTAGTCTAATACTGAACAAGATATATGGATACAGGAAACATAGTAAGCAGGGAGATCAGTTTTATAACATCACAAACAATACGGAGGCATGAGATGAGGGACTGGCCTAAGGCAATAACAATGAAAAGAGTCCGAGACACACTATTAAAAAAGACAGTCCTAGAAGTGCAAGTTGAGAATGAGAATTTGCAAGGATGATGAAGCCGAACCAATGTATACACGGAAGTGATGAGAGGGCTTCAATTTTTGAGAGAAATTTGGATAGCTAAGTAAAAATATTCCTTTAAAATATATATTTATTTTTCTCCTCACTAGAAAAATAACACAAAACAGACACTGAAATACAACAAAGTATAAAGAATAAAAAAGTCGCCTGTAATCTGGAAGTCACAGTGCTCTTTGTATAATGTAACAATATGTTCATATACTTAAATCTACAACATGAACTAGGATATCTATTTTGTGGGTGAAATAGAGAACTGACATCTACCTACACACTTACCAGTTAAAAAATATGCAGTGAAACCAAGCATGACTGGCTGTTTACAGCATTTCAGTAAATATTAATTTCATTAATTGTTATTTGCTGGCACTCGGTAATAGGAAGCTAGAAAAACTGCCGGAGAAAAATCTAAAATTGAGAACATTTTAGCCTTCACTTTTCTCTGAACTTTTTTAAAAGCTCATTTTTCAATTTTAGCAGCAATATAGCTTTGATAGCTTGTTTGAGAACCACTGTTCTAGTCTAACTCCCTCAATTTACAGAGGAAAGACCTGAGGCCTAATCCGCTGCTGCTGAGTCTATTCCGACTCATTAGCGACCCTACAGGACAGAGTAGAATTGCCCCATAGGGTTTCTTGGAAACCCTGGTGGTGCAGTCGTTAAGTGCTACGGCTGCTAACCAAAAGGTCAGCAGTTTGAATCCACCAGCTGCTCCCTGGAAACCCTATAGGGCAGTTCTACTCTGTCCTACAGGGTTGCTATGAGTTGGAATTGACTCGACGGCAATGGGTTTGTTTTTTTAAATAGGGTTTCCAAGGCTGTAAGCTTTATGGAAGCAGTCTGCCACATATTTCTCACCAACCTTTCAGTTAGCAGGCGAGTGTTTAACCACTGCACCACCAGGGCTCCTTACCTGAGGCCTAAAAAAGCTGAATGATTTTCTCAAAGACAGTCTTTGCTACTACAAATACAGAACTGTTGTTGTTAGTTGCCATCGAGTTTATGTCCATAGTCACGGTGACCCCATAAGTGCAGAGCAGAACTGCTCCGTAGGGTTTTCAAAACTGTGACCTCTTGGAAGCAGATCGCTAGACCTGGCTTCTGAGGTGCCTCTGGGAGGGTTTGAACCATCAACTTTTCAGCCAGTAATTAAGCGCTTCTCGGATATATCAATTTCCAGACCCATGCTCCTTCCATAAGATAAGGTTGTCTCCACTACTTTAAGCTCATTCACCAAAGCATATTTTCGGCTTATTTCCATTTAAATTTAATTTATTGAAATAGATCATAGAGTTACATGGTAAACAATTCAAGAGTCATAAAAGGGCATTGGTAAAAATACTAGCGCCCATTCCTTGTCTCTCAGCCACCGAGTTCTCTCTCTAGATATAACCAACGCTACAGGTTTCTTATGTTAATTTGCTTCTTAAAAGGTCCCCACTTACCTTCGTTCAACAGGTACAGGCAAGGACCAGACTTCTCCCTCAGAAGCTGGAAGCTCATGTTGTGCAGCTTTCAAGGGAGTACTGTCTAGTTTAAAGCTCTCTAGTGTTTTCATGATATCCTTAACATGTTTAGCTTCCACATTTATTTCCTGCCAAACCTGGTTTCAAAAGAGAATATGGCTCTTGAAATTTCTATAATCAACATTTACTAGAGATATTAGAAAACTTCCATTTTGACATCAGACATCCAGTAACCCATACAAGATACTCTGTTGAAATCTTAATAATGGCTCATTAATTCTGTTTTCAAATGCAAAATTAACTCTGACAAAATGAATTAATATCCTGGTTAATTAAACCATGTTAGTGACTTGTGTTTCTTATTCAAATTCCACAGCAAATTGAAAAGTTAGCTATATCTTTAAAGCTTGCCAAAAAAAATACTCTTACTAGTTGCACCCTGATGGTTTCTAAGCTATTTATTTTTAAAATGCTGATTAGAATCCATTAATTTGATAACTCACTAATGGATTACAATGTACAGTCTGAAAAATACGGCTTCAGAAGACAAATGTCTAAATTCACATATCAAAACCAAAACCAAACCCATTGCCGTCAGGTCGATTCTGACCCACAGCAACCCTCTAGGACAGAGTAGAACTGCCCCATAGGTCTTCCAAGGAGTGGCTGGTGGATTTGAACTGCCGATCTTTTGGTTAGCAGCCGTATCACTTAACCACTGCGCCACCACTGTATGAGCTGGCCTAAGAGTAAAAGGTCTTAAAAGTCTTTCAGTGACAAACTTAAGACTCCTTATGAAATAAAATTGTTTCCTTTCTGGTAATGAAAGCAATATAGAGGGGCAGACTGAAGGAAAGAAGTTCTTTAAGTTTCTTTTAAAAAAATTAAGGGCAAATATGGAATGATATTAAAAAAAAAAAAACAGTTCAGTAAAGATCTGAGGGATAATATTCTACCTAAAAGACCAGCTCAAAAGATTACTTCTAATTTCTGTATCATTTCTTTCCTTTTGTGATGTAATTGATGCTTGCTATATATGGCATCCTCAACTAGACTGATTAATCTACAGTTTCTGCTTATAAATTTCTCTTGGTCCTCAGTGACTAAAGTTCCTCAGATAGAATTCAAGTACGGTCTGCTTTATAATGTTCTATAGGGAACATGGTACCAATGAGATGCAAGTGTCATTTGCAATTTCAACAATGGCTTAATAAAATTAATTTTACCAAGTAAAAATCTGATCTAGAAAAAAATTTCAAAAACTATTACTTTAAAAAAATCTATTAGATTCCAACAATTAGAACAATTGAGCAGAACTCATATCAGTGATGAAGAACACGGACTATTATTAAAATAATAATTAAGTTTCAAGTAATATCATATACAAATCCATGTAATAAATTCTGACTGTGTAACTGCAAATAGCATTGACAATCTATTCAAATGTTCTCTTCTGAGTACTTAGACCATTAATACATACAGCAGACATGATTCTCACCTGTTGCCATTTCTGCTGGAGGTTTGTGTCTTTGACTGAGTATAGATACTTGTTCATTTGATCAAGAACTCCCTGATAATAGACCATTGCAGAGTCATAGTTTCCCAGCAACGCATATTCCCGAGCCAATTTTACATTCTCACTAATCATAAGAAGACTCATGCTCAATTGTGAGCTAAAAAAAAAAAAAAAAAAATATTACATGTCTCTTAAGAACAGGTACTACAAAGAGGTTTTTAAAAGACTGCTCCAGGACTCCCTCAGGAAGCTCACCATCACACAGACACTGCACTTTACAGTCTCTAGACGCTTGCTCGTGCTGTTCCCACTCCTTCAAAGAAACTTCAAAGTTCCCACGTCCAAACCTACCGATGTGTCAAATCCCAGCTCAGGTGGCAGTTCTCCTAGTGTGTCTATCCCCTGAATTCCTCAGGTCAAAATAAGCTCTCCCTCATCTAAAACCCCCTGGCACTTTACTGGGATCTTTCATCCCAAGGCACTTGTCTGTTTTTAATTATAGTTAACTAATATATACCTTATCTCTATGAGACCAAGTTCTCTGAGAGCAAGATCTGTATCAGAAAGGTGTGAGACTGTATCTCAGTGCAGGACACAAAGGTCTTATTGGACATCTGCAGAATGAATGTTGAATGTTAGGCACATTTTTTAGCAGGCAGCATGGAATAGGAGAAAGCTATTGTTTTGAAGCCATGTGTTTTTTGTTGTTGAGTTTGCTTTGTTGTTGGTTTGTGACTTTGGAGACCTCATGTGTTACAGAGTAGAACTGCTCTATAGGGTTTTCTTGGCTGTAATCTTTACGAAGGCAGATCTCCAGGCCTGTTTCTTCTGCAATGCCACCAGATGGGTTCGAACTGCCAACTTTTTGGTGACCAGCCGAGTGCAAACCATTTGCATCACTCAGGGACCTTTGAAGTCATGTGTTTTGAAGTAAAAAAATTTTGTTTAGAATTATAATTCTGCCACTTTTGGCAAGTCTCTTAACTTTTAAAAGCCTCAGATTTTAAATCTGTAAAATTGGGATGCTTCCAAGGGTAACTACTTCCAAGGGTTACACTGTGAAGAATAAATAACTATTTAATGTACCTAGCATACTATTCGATAAAGAGTAGGTCTTCAGTAAATGCTAAATGCATCTTCCCTGAAGCTTTCTATATAAGAGAACCTAGCACAAGGCTTTGCACTTAGTAAGTACTCAATACAAAATTGCAATGAGACTTTCAATTGTAATAAAGCAACGTGTGTGTTGTAAAATTAAATCTGTGACTGGTAAAGAGGGGCAGAAGGACTCATTTTTCTGTGTGTGACATGTTTTCTCAATGACAAATCCAAGAGACCTATGCGCAACAATCCCACTCCTATGTTCATAATAACAACCAACTGTTGAGCTCTTCAAATGTGCCAGACATTCACTGCCCTGACTTTTAAAAGTCCTGGATAGAATCTGAAAAGAAATATTTGAAAAATGACTTGAAGTTTGTTTTTGTTACTTTGGCAAAACAGATTTGTTCTGGTATGGCAGTTTTTATGTTTTTATCTATTTATTGAATAAAATTTTATGATTTGAGGTACATATTACAAAGAATAATGAACTTTTTGGGGCACTTACAATGTACCAGGAACTGTCCAGCTTCATTATAAGCATTTTATATAAATTACCATATTTAATCCACATAACAACTCTAGAAGATAGACAGATACTATTATTGTCTCCAGTTTACAGATCAGAAAACTGAGGAAAAGCGAGTGTAAGTGACTTAGCCAGGTCAACAGCTAGTAAGTAATAAAGGCAGGATTTTAATTCAGGTAGAGACTTCTGAACCCATACTCTTAACCACCATGATATGCCACCTTCTTCAATTAATCCTGCAAAAAAGTATAAAATTACATAGCTAAAATGGAAATGAAAAATGGTGCAGACATTGTGAAAAACAGTTTTGGTGGTTCCTCAAAAAGTTAAACACAGAATTACCACATGACCCAACAATTGGACTCCTAGGTATATAGACAAAAGACTTGAAAACAGGGACCAATGCTCATTGCAGCACTATTCACATCGAAAGCGGGAACAAGATGATCATCAACAGATGAATGGATAAACAAAATGTGATACATACATACATACAATGGAAAATTACTCAGCCATAAAAAGAAGTGAAGTTCTAATAGATGCTACAACACTATAGTGAAAACACTATACTAAGTGAAATAAGCCAGATACAAAAGGATAAATATTGTTATGATCCCACTTGTATAAAATATCCAGAATAGACAAATGCATAGAGTCAGAAAGTAGATTAGTGATTATCATGGGATGGGAAGAATGGGGAGTTACTGCTTAACGGGTACAGAGTTTCTGTTTGAGCTAATGAAAAAGTTTTGGAAACAAATAATGGTGATGGTTGTACAGCACTGTATAACTAATGCTAACGAATATACACTTAAAAATGGTTACAATGGCAAATTTTATGTTATATATATTTTACGATTTAAAAAAACCCCATAAAACTAAAAATCTGTATATACTTTTTTTAAATCTTTTACTTTTGTGTTGCCATTCTCCATAAATGTAGATTGGGGTATCATTCTTTATTTTACAGCTTGGATATTTTGCTTTCAGTACACAATACAAGTGTACTAAAAACAACCCCATTGCTGTCGAGTCAATTCCAACTCATAGTAACCCTACAGGGCAGAGTAGAATTGCCCCAAGGATTTCCTAGACCCAGGTAATTTTTGGATACTCTTTTGGGAGTTATGTGGTTACACAGAAAGAATTTATTTTATATACCAGTATATGTGACCCTCATCTCTAAAACCTTAACTTTCTCCTGCATAAATGAGAAATAATATGAGTATTAACAATTACCACCCATTTCCTAGGTTGTTGTATTACACAAGATAATGGACAGAAATCACTTACAAGTAGGTACCTGATGTCAGCTTTGTTGATGTTGGCAGTGATTACTATTATTTATTAACTGTACATAGCATGATGAAGTTCAGAGTCAGAAAGATCTGTGTGCTTGTGAGACGGCAATAATTTGGATTAGGGTTGTGGCTGTGGAAATAACAAGAAGCAAATGTGAGACACTGATGTGAAAGAACTGCTGAGATTACTAATGAATTCACTGTGTGGAGAAGATGTTGAAAATGAATGAAGTTTCAAGTCTGGGGAACTGAAAAGAGTTATGAAAGATCACAGGAAAACTGAGAAGAGGCAGACGTACGAAGGAAATAAGATCATTATTTTTTTAATGATCTGCTTAAAAATGCGTGTGTGTTAATGCGATATCCAAATAGACATGTCTCACAGATAAACAGTTATAGCTTCTATACCCAGCTTCAATCGATCAAAGGTGTTTTCTAAAATTGTGCTTCCTGACCACCCCCTGCACACACACACACCTATGGTTAAGATCAAGTGATGCAACAGAGCTTAGCTCTGATGGAGAAGACTACAGGTCTGGGATGAGGCTTTCTGTGGAAAAAGAAAAGAAAAGAAAAAAAAACATGCCAAGAGGATTTCCTAAGTTTAATTCATTGTAGGTTTAGCTGATGGGTGAGGCAAGGAGGATGATGGCAGCACAATCAACATCAACCAGACTCACTATGTGTTAGACATAGGACCAAAAAGATTTTTTGCCAAATAGCCCAGAATTAGGAAGCAAGATTAATAGTCAGGAAATGCTGGCTGGTGGAAGAGCTAAACATCAGGACTGCTTTACTAGAGAAGAAAAGTGCAGGTACTATGCTGTCTAGGACAGTAATTTGTGGGAGATGGGGTCACAACTTCAGTGAGAAGGCAGGGATGTCAAAAATCCCACCAACTGAGCGCCGTCTAGGGTCTTAAAAGCTTGCAAGCGGCCATCTAAGATGCATCAATTGGTCCCAACCACCTGGAGTAAAGGAGAATGAAGAACACCAAAGACACAAGGAAAGCAGTAGCCCAAGAAACAGAAAGGGTCACATAAACCAGAGACTTCATCAACCTGAGACCAGAAGAACTAGATGGTGCCCGACTACCACCAATGACCGCCGTGACAGGGAACACAACAGAGAGTCCCTGATGGAGCAGCAGAAAGATGGGGTACGAAACTCAAATTCTAGTAAGAAGACCAGACTTAATGGTCTGACTGAGATTGGAGGAACCCCAGAAAGCATGGCCCCTGGATTCTCTATCAGCCCAGAACCAAAAACAATTTCCAAGGCCAACTCTTCAGACAGGGATTCTACCGGACTGTGGGACATAAAGTGATACTCGTGAGGAGTGTGCCTCAAGTATATACAAGAGACCAAAGGGGCAGCTTCTGTCCGGAGGTATGATGGGAAGGCAGAGAGGGTTAGGAGCTGGTTGAATGGACATGGGGAATCAGGGGTGGAAAGGAGGAGCGTGCTGTTACAGAATGGGGTGAGCAATTAGGGTCACATAACAATGTATGTATAAAATTTTGTATGGGAGACCAACTTGAAATGTAAACTTCTTTTAAACTACAACAATAAAAAAATAAAAATCCCACCAATCACCTCAGGCTTCTACTCTCTGCTAGTCTTTGTAGTTTTTATTCTCTAACCAGTTACAGATGTAACTGTTGATCCTTTAACCAGTTAGGATTGATTAATGCATGTCACGTATTATGTATAAGGATATATATTAGGATCTTCAAACTTCTTTCATTTCAGTATCAGCTTCAATTACCAAACACAAGGCAAGACAGGAAGCCAAGACACCTGCTGGACCTCTTTCTGTCACTCAATCCCAGGAGAGTCTCGAACAGCTGAGGAAGGTCAATGGATCCCAGAACCTAACATAAAATCCTGAAAAACTATTGAAATGACAGATGGCGATTAGGTCCCAGTGTCTGTGGAGTACATGGCAGCCAAGAGAGAAATAGGGCCAGGTGAGAGTTTTCTAGCTGTGCCCCTTCTGACTTCCATTGCCCTGGCTGATCCCTGCCCACCTCATCCCCCTTTCTACCATAGAAAAGAAAACCAGAATTGCTAGCCCAGTATCAGATGGAGACAGCAGAATAAACTGGGAAAACCATGGCCTGGACAGAGTGAGGAGTTCATAAAAAGGAGCTAGGTCAACAGCAGCTCTTGAGAGTGATCTCTTCTGCTATTCTTCTGCTCATCTTAAGCTAGATGATTACAACT